GGAATAGAAGAGTGATCCACAGATGTAAAAGAGACAGACAAGGACAGAGGCAGAGAAAAAGGTAAGGTGAGTACTGTGAAGGTGGTCGAGTATTACATACAGTGGGGTCATGGTAATTTGTAGCCAGAAGTCAACTGCCGGTTAATAGACTGTCCGTATGAGTATACGTTACCCAAAGTGCATCACGTAGAGGTAATTCTATCATGCACCCCTATGTGCCGAATGTCTTTCTTGTTGCTCCTTTTGTAGGGTGATGTAAGCCGACACAATTTCCGGCTGACGACATTCTCCGTCATATTTTTGGGTGCCGCTTGGCTCTTGGTCTCGCTTTGTGGGTCCGTGGGCTTCATTCTCGCCAACTGTATCAATATCTTGGCTAGAATTATCTACAGGTTTGCGTCTTCTCCCTTTATTAATCATATTTTAGACCATTTTTACCACTTATACTCTTTTAATCAACTCCCAGATTGTTCTAATGTCTTAAATTTTCATGTGTTCCTTCAATTTTACTAACTTTTCTCCACTTGCGTATAGAATGTGCAGGCTTGTTTTCATTTTCTTTCCTGTTGTAAACTTGTCTAACTAGTATCTTTTTTCACTGAACTTGGCAAAGAATTTGCCTAAACTAATGTATTGGTCTCATTAATTTAGGCAATTGTGCACGTAAAATATGTAGCTTTCAGTGTAGGATTAAGTGCTGAAGGGAAGCCGATTGTAGAATATGGAAAATATTACCCTAAAACCAACCATTTCGGCTTAATCCAAATAGCGATTTACGACATCGCGCTGCCCATAAGGCCTTTGTGGTTTGGGCACTTGAATGTGTTTTTCTATTCTGTTTTAGTTCATTTTTAAAGTTTCCTAGAAGAGAGTTTCAGATGTTTGATCTCAATGGAAGGCGTTTTGATAGCTATCATTAGCCCTTTAGCTGACTTCGGGCTACACAGAGGGGAGGAACATTAAAGTGGGAAAAATTTGAGAGGGGGAACAGAAAAGTGATTTATGGATAAAAAAGAGACAGACAGACAAAGGCAGAGAAAAAAGGCGAGATGATTACTATGGAACTAGTCGAATATGACATACAGTCGGGTCATGGTAGTTTGAAGTCAGAAGTCAACTGCCGATCAATAGACTGGGTAGTTTGAAGTGAGAAGTCAACTGCCAGTTAATATAACGAATATGACATAGAGAAGTCAACTGCCAGTTAATAGATCATGGTAATTGAAGTCAGAAGTCAACTGCCGATTAATAGACTTGGGGTCATGGTAGTTTGAAGTCAGAAGTCAACTGCCGATCAATAGACTTTTTTTGCCGTTTGAGTATACGTTGCCCAGGGTGCACCACGTGGCGGTAAGTCTATCGCACACCCCGGATCTCAAGAGTTGGGATTTTAATTTGTTTGCAGGTTAGCAATCGCGTGTTTCATTTACTCGTGGAAGAAGTCACACCGTGATTTGACCAATTTGAAAGATAGTGTGCCGTCGTCATTGAATCTACAGGGTTGTTTGTTCCTACAATGTGGGATTTTTAGTACCTTTTGCCTTGTAACAGCAAAAACATTAACTGAATGTCCTTGGGTTATGTTATATTAGCTTAGCGTTTATCACTACAGGTCAATCAAGTTGAAGTCTTGGCTTGTAAAAATTTTATTTGTTAGTGTTACTCAATCTCCCTATTCTATTATTTTAGTTCTATGTTGAGATTATAGTAAGTGGTCCAGTGCAAATTCATTGGTAAAGGAATTTCATCTTACAGCGAGTTCATTAGACTTTCTTATTTAACTGATTGTATTGCGTTTCACTTTGTAATTCTGGGCTTGAGCTGTACTTTAAAAATTTCATTAATCAGTTTTCTTGATGGCATTCTATATCTTAGGGCTCCTATTAGACTAGGGTTCGATGCCAAGGTTAATCCATTGTGGTCATTCTCTGATAGGAACGTACTTTCACTCTGCCGTAGCGGCGACCTTTCTTTCAACTTTCCTGCCGAATCAATTCCATTTAAATAGTGATTGGATCGATCATTAGCGCAGCTTAGTACTTTTATAATGAGCGTTTCGTCAAATGGGGAGGCTGCTGTAAGTAAATCTAATCTACTTATTCTTTAATTTTGCAAACGTTGATTATTGATTTTCTAAGCTCGGATCGAGACATGTGAGACCACAACTGAAGCAGCTTTCATCTATCACATCTATTTCCATGTAAGCATTTTTATCTTCTTAAGGTTTAAAAAATATTGTCTGAGTTAGAGATCTTCTCTGGGATCTGAGCAGTTATATTTTCATGATAGTTCCATTATATCTTTGCTTTTCTTGTTATTTCTCATCTAAATGACTCATTTTTGTTTACTTTTGATTTCAGCTGCTACTTCATAGAAGGCTTTGTTGATCGAGCCAAAGAGAATCGCGACATGTCACTTACCTGGAAAAAAGATTTGCAAATCTTTTCATTGCTTCGTCTTATGCTACCTTCTAAACTTCAAACCCTTCTCATGGCTTTCATTTTGATTTTAACTCTCACTTCAGAGGTAATTTTGAGGTTATCTACTTATCTTATTTGCTTGCTAAAGTGCAGCATACTTTATGTTGTATCCCTTTTTTCTTGTAGTATCTTATCGGCCCAGTGTTTACTTTGCCATATATAGTGATTCATATTACCGTCGGTGCTCTGGCCCTACTTGTTTCAGCTACAGTGATTCTCTGGGAAGAAAAAACAACCTTTATGGCTCTTTCAGGAACAGGACTTGGCCGTATTTTCGTGAAAATATACCAGTTCCTACCGTTCTAAAACAATGCAATTTATTCTATTTTCTTGTGCCTTAGATGAATGTTGTGTGAATAGAAAGTGATGCATACTTTGACTGTCATTGATTATTTCAAAATTTCCCTTTTTACTTCTTTATACCATATCAGGGTCAAATGAAAGTTCTTCACTGCTACCTGGATTGCCCGCTTAGCAATTAAGCTCAAAGAAAAGTTACAGTGGTTGGGGCAGGGTCTCTGAATTGCCTAGCTATCAGATTCTTTGTTCTGTTAGGAACGTGATCTAATTAAATCACAATTAGGTCGCATCTTTTAGAACAGATAAATCAGCGCAAAGCTTATGCGGCATACGAAAGGTGGAAATAGTTTGCAGAAATTATCAGAAGTACAAATGACGGGAGGGTGCGGTAACGATGGTTGGAATATTCGACAGTAGTTAGTCTGAACGTGAAATAATTCCCTAATCTAGCCAATTTTCTTCCATGTAGGGTTCACTTTGCAAGCAGGTAAGTGTATCAGATGTATTTGATAACATCGCATAGAAAGAAAACTAACCGCTGGTTAAGAGTGATATTTCTGGTCGAACGAACAAGTCACAAAGCCAGTAAGGGAAGCGTAGATGACTATAAGAATTTTAATAGAGCTCGATAAAACATGCTTTAGTTAGAGAAAAATAAGCAATAAACGTGCACATATATTGTTTTTGCTAAGCAACAATAAAATATTAAGGATATTTAGTGCATCATTAGAAGACCTATTTAAATTTTTGAGGGTACAAGTGGATTGAGGTAACACATAATGAATATTAGGTTAACTTATTCCTTTCGATATAATTTTCAGTTTATAAGCGTAATAAAGTGAATATTACCTCATGACGTCTAACTTCTACCATGAACATGATTAATACATGAACAATGACATTTTGAGACCGGTAAAAATACTTTAACGAAAAAAATAAATAGCATCTTTGTGTCATGATTAAGTTATCTTGAGGTAGGTAAACTCTCTATATTCGTCCTACATTGCTAAATAAAGGCGCGCAATTTAACCCTGACCTTCAAAATGCATGTGGATCTCTATCTAACAGAATCGGATATTGCATCAAATAAATTGTCCATATTCCACCCAATTATTCTAAACAATAATCATGTAGCCGTTATTGGATTTTCAAAATCTCAAAAAGCAAATATGCTTAAAAGATCAATGTGGCGATTTTTAATGACAAGCTCGGACAACTTTTTACTTTCAAAAGTGAGGACAGTCCTCGCTGCTCAGTCGATTGAAATATTTATTAAGTAATTGTATTATATTTTCCTCAACGCTTTTTTAGTCATGCTAAATTTGATAACTTTCTTTGGTCTCTTCTACTTCGACTTCGTAAGATTTTGCTGTCAAATTAACACTTGATTTTTAGAGAACTGTTTTGTGATTCCTGGAGCAACTGAGCGTTTTAAGCTTATGGGCTGTGAATTCATTGTTAATTTTCATACAGTTTTTTCAACTACCGGTAGTGAATCCCAGAAATGGTAATGCAATTTATATGCATTTTTTTAATTTTCCATATATTTATGTAATGTTCGCGTTACGTCATAGTTTCTCGCCATCTCAGTGGCTCTCGGATCATGCATATGGAAATGACATCGAACAATTTGGCACTGATGAGCTGGTCGAAGTTTCCTCCTTATCATTCTCTAATAATAGTAATAAAATAGTTTATAAGGTTGATATCCCATTGCTTCTTTACTGTTTCATTCCTAAGGTTTCATCTAAAACAAAGCTTAAAATCATTCCAGTTGATGGTATTCCTTCAAGTATTTCATTGAAAAACAAATCGGTATCTACCTCAACCTCGATTCCTGTCGGGTTGGAGTCTTCCTGGTATTCAGTTGTTGAATTTGTCCGCCAATATTCTCTTTCGCTTGATTTTCTTCCTCGAAGTGAGCCTACGGGCCTGCTGCTCTATGGTCTTCAGGGCTGTGGGAAAAGTCTAGTTCTCGAAACACTTTCTAAAGGCGAGCTTCTAAAACACCAAGTACTACATATTTTCAATGAGTCTAACTGGTATTGTAGGCCTGGTATAGTCGTCTCCACTTTTGTACCCTCTCAGTAGATGGTTTCTCAGTGTCGAAATCGGATGCGAATATGAATTCTTTTCGAAAGTACATCACTTCAAAACTAGCGGACGTTCCTAAGTCTTGTTACGGAGTAATTGTCACCATTCCAAATCTTGATACCTGGTTAACCCTAGTTCATAATCCCGATTCGCCACAATCAGAAGATCCCCATGATCAGGAATCAACTAGCCGAAATTCCGGTCTATACTCCTTTCTATTTTCCGCTCTTAATCAAGCTTGCTCGACTTATCCTGTCTGTGTTTTGGCTACCAGTACAGAGTCCATTAACATTCTCAAACATCGAGATCTTCGTAATCTTTTCTACCGGAGACTTCTTGTCTCTTTACCAAGCGGGGAACAGAGATTCCAACTTCTGAAACAGGAGATGGAATTACTATTACCAACTTTATCGAAGTTCATTGATCAGTCTGATAATAATAGGTTATCACAGGTCGCTGCTAGTTTACATGGATACACTCAAACGTAATTCGATTTAGTTTGATCTCTTACCTCTTCTCTATTTAGTGATATTTTTCGACTATTTCGAGCTAGCTATGCCTCAGCGGTTGACGAATGTTTTAAACGTGATTTAAAACCCGAAAGTGGAGATTTATGTCTTCAACCTACGGTACAGCAAATTATTGATAAATTAGAGAATGAGCGTACACATTATCGACCCGCTAACTTGTGCGCAGAAATATCTGTTTTTCCACCAATGAGATTTGCAGATATTGGTGGATATTCGGAAATCAAACATCTCTTTACCTCAACAATCCAAAGTCGATTAACGGAAGCTTCTGATCCTAGTAGTGAGGCAGCTAGAATTAACAAATCCCTTGGTCTTACCGTTCCGCGTGGTGTACTCCTACACGGGCCACCTGGTATGGTGAAACGCTATTTTTTGTAACATCCAACCTACTAATTGAAGCTAAGTAGTAACGGCGTATCTCTTTATAGGGTGTTCGAAAACACTGTTTGTCCGGGCATTGGCTACCGAGTGCAACCTGCCTTTGGTTGCGGTTCAAGCTTCGAGAATTTTCGGTCGATATGTAGGTGATAGTGAGAGAAATATGCAGCGGATTCTTATTCATGCCCGAGCTTGCTCACCTGCAATTCTTTTTATTGATGAGATCGATCTTCTTCTCCCCTCTAGGAGTACAAGGTAGCTTTTATGCAAATTTGAAATCAGCTAAAACTGACTTTATTCTAGTGAGTCGGGAGTGAGTGAACATGTGTTGGGTGAAGTTTTAACTGTTATGGATGGCGTTGAAGGGCAATGTGGAGATCTGCTGTTGGTTGCTGCTACGAATCGACTTGAAAATCTCGATCCAGTATGTGGTTTTATTTAATATTTAATATTTGCATAATGCTTTAAATTTATTGGTGAGCTAATGTGAGAGTTTATGCACATGGACGTTTATTTAAAACAAAATTTAGAATTTAACAAAGTATGCAAGCATTAGGTTTTACACGGCAAAATGGTTCACTTTTTTTCTATGTTCACTTCGGTTGAAAAGAGAGATTGATTACATCTCTGCATTTTGCTCTTGGAATGCGAATATTTGTGCGAAATTGTTCGAACCTAGTTAATCTGACTGTATGAGTTTTCATTTTTATTGATGTGATTCTCTTGAACTATAGCTCCCATTCTTCACAGCTGTATGCAATTTTTTCAAAAGTTCGGGCTGTTCAATCAATTTACAAGTTACTTATTGTCGTAAGGCTTGTCATTTTCAGTTGCCTTTTTGCATAGCATATTTGATATCTTAATAAATGCATTGATTTTTAAGGTGTTTTGTGATTTATTTAAATCCATGTTTTATGGGCATTCTACTTTGAAACGGATGCTGCACAAATAAGCTCTTAACCAAACTTTGGTATTCCCTTTGCAAATCCAAAAAATTTCTTGCGGAGTTTTCTTGTACAAACATTGCCTCAAATATTATTTATTTATTTATATCAAATGGCAGGCGTCTTGATGGTTATCATTAGCCCTATAGTTGACTTCAAGCTTCACAGAGGGGAGGAGGAACATCGAATCGAAAAAAGTCGAGAGGGGGGGGGGCAGAAGAGAGATTTACAAATGTAAAAGAGACAGACAGACAGACACAAAAGTAGAAAAAAGGTGAGGTGAGTACTGTAAAAGTAGTC